AAGACATATGAGACAGGAGCTTCACGAGTAATTTCCGCTTCGTTGGTTCGATTATCCAAACATACATAAGGTCATTTACGGTATGTGAGAGAGAATGTGTGCGTGAATGAGGTATTTCCCTATCAATCTTTTCTGTTTTTCGTTCTCCAGTGTTGGGTTTTGGTGTGTCCATCGGACTGTGAGGTCTCTAAAATGCCCGTGGAAGATAACTGAGGCTGCCGGTCGGTAACAGCGACAACTGGGTCGTCGAACCGTGTAATCATTGTTGGTTCCTTCGGTTCATTGCTCGAGCATTGACACGCACGCATGCACGCACATACAAACCGACATGTACACTAACAAGCACAAAAGTCGCATGATTAAAGGGAACCGATTGCCAACAGTTCATCCTGTGCCACGAAATGCAACGAAAAAGCTTTGTGGGTTGGTTAGCGTTCAAGATTGCCCGGTGCCCATTACACAGATGGTATGAATCACTGTAACACAATCGCTGATCTCTCTGAAATCTGATTTTCAATTCACGAACGTCTTATTTCGCTATCAGTGTGTTACGATCAGATCGTTTGAAGTACTTAGGCCCAAAAACAGCAAAAACAACGATACGTCATCTCATTCTATCCGTATATTTTAAGTGTATGTGGAATGTGATGGCGCAGAAGATTACATGCCATTACATGCCCATATGTAGAGCTAGGATTATTTTACCTGATGAGTAGTGTTCATGCGGTTAAATTTGCTGTGACTGGCATAGTTTGAATCCTAAAGCGTTAGTTTCAAACCCTGTCACCGCCATCCGGATTTTGTGGTAGGTTGCTTTGATGGTGTTTGGTGCAATACCACCTCTATCTTATTATGACCCCATCCATATTTCGCTACTCCAATTCCGAGGTCTTTAGTTGCGGCCATCATAAGTGGGTACTCAAGTCAATTGAAGTCAAGTGAAATCATCGGATGTAACAACAAATTAGGTCATGGCACTGTTAATTCCCGCTCAGTTCAGTCAGTTAGTTGGTGTATTAGTGTTTGCATGTGCGCGTATGCTCTCGAATAATTGGCATTGAAGCTTTGGGTGAGCATTTTATGAAACAGTGCACCTATCAAAATATACTAGAAATTTCTGCTCAATTCGATAGAACTGCTTGCTATCGTTCGAAATCCCTCGAGTTTGAAGAATTCCGTGTCCCATTTTTTTGCTAGACCAGTAACGTCTATCTCCAAATGACTGCTCCGAATTTCGTCCAATATGAGTACCAATTCAATCTAGACTGTGAAGGTTTGGACGAAACAGCTGTCCAGTGCTCTTTGTTGGTCTTTTCAAAGATTTCTATCGCATTTAAACTAATCCAATCACTTTAAACTCTTTGGCTCGCACGGACATCATTTCCTTCTACTGTTTTCTCATTCCAGTGGGGTAAAAGTATTGATGCAGCTCAACGGATTGCGTACGAAACCGAAGGACGTGAAGTGATCCAATGGGCCGGAGGAACGTTTGTCGTTCTGCCCAGTGTGCCAAACAGTGCAATTCCCGAAGACGACATGGGCGCAGGGGATGCGACTGATAGAGGCTCGGCGGATGAGACACAATCCATGACCAATGTGGTGGAGACCGGCATATCGAAGCGGAAAGTGAGCCGCACGGCTTACAATCTAATCCCACATTCTGGTGCTGTGGCAACCGAAGCATCGCCCAGTCAAACTAGTCGTCTGGTATTGCGTCGTGTTAAACCAACCGATGCTGGTCGGTATGTGTGCTCTGTGCTCACCGAAGCCGGTCGGGATGACCACAAGTTTGTACACGTGTCCGTTGTCGGTAGGTTCCTTGTATTGCGAACAGTTGTACGCGTTCTCTTGAAGGTGAATTATTTTAAACCATAGCTTACTTATTCAAGGAGGTTCAGCTGATTTAAGAACAGAAGCAACTTCACAAGAATAATAGGTTCATCATTTCTCTATGAGCGTACGGTTTTCATTTGGGCTGAAACCTATGCTTTTCTCAGGGGTTCATAACCGTAGCCTTCGATCAGCCTAAACCTGACCGGTAAGGCAATAGTTTGGTATGATCGTTTGGGGGTGATGCCCGATCATACAGTTATTACGCACTTGGGATGTTATCCACGCTTGCAGAGAGTCCGATTCACCCTTTCGCTCAATCGAGCTAACCGATTCGCAGGTCTGATCTCTGGGTTCTCTAATTCCCGTAGACCATCTAATTGTCTGTGACTAATAAACCCGACTGTAGCCACGGATGTTACCTTTTTGCTTCCTCATTTTAGCAAGAATAAGAATAGATGCATTCTATAGGGTCGTCTTTCAAGCACATTCGAAGAAAGCTGAGCTTTCTACGATGCGATCGGAAAAAGAAGGTGGGCCTCATTGATATCGATTTTACGATGGTATCTTTTTATTCAGTGGCAACAAGCAGTTTTCGCGCATGTGGCTACCTTGGATTTCACACTTATTTCACCACATTTAACATCAGTAAACTGTGAATTGAAGGTATCTTACTTTTCATTTACTCCAGTGCTTTATTTACGTTATGCATTCACTCATTCGTGTGATCTATCAGTCATCTATTGGCCAACTTACCAACGCATCTACTGTTTCACTAAGCAGATATATCAACAAATGGGAAGCAGCGTTTGGGAAAAGGTTAACTTTGTCGATACAACTTCTGATTTGAGCATCCTTCTTTCTCCGGACATTTTCAACCGACATTGTCTCCGTATTTCCAGACAGTTGCAAATCACCTTTATTCGGTTTGAGCTATCGACCTGGCTACTGGCTGACTACTCACAATTACGAGTAGTGTTTTTTTGTACGCATGAAAAGGCGGTTAATGGATTCTCACGGTATTTGGGAGAGGATTACACGATTTATTGTTGTTTCTACAGAACAGGCAAACAGATTGCCGAAATGTTTGACCACGAATCAAGAGCCTTTCATCAACTTCCCTCTCTGTCTTTCTAGAACTGTTGTTTTGATGTTGTTCTTGTGTTCGGGTTCTTGATTGTATAGAATGTTGTGTGCGTGTGTGTGTGTCAGTTTATCGGCCAGACGGCTATACTGAATGTCAGGATACACTTGAGGCTGCTGTTGAGTTGATTGACAGCACAGATAGACCGTGGTGACTAATGTGATATGGTTTTGTGCCGACGCTGTCTCTTGTACTGCTGTGCTGGATCGGTCGTGCCGATACGCTTCCGTGGTCTGTGCATTATGCCAATGATAGTATGGTTTGTGCTCGTCTTTCACAGGAGCAGGGGGTTAAGTTTACATCTGTAGAATCTTTCCAATTCAGCTCCTCCCTAGGTCTTTGCTGTGATGCGTCAACCTGACGACACCATGTTTTCCGACTCGACCACTGGGCGGGGGTTGGCGACTAGAGCAAGCCCACACACCTACACCACACCAACCCTTGGTATATCGGCTCTTGTCTCACCGCACTATGCGACGCCCCGTCGCGTTCCTTTTCTCTCTCTCTCTCTCTCGCACACAGTCAGCCACATTGGATTGCGTCGCGTCGCGTCGCGTCACATTGCATAGCACTGACTAACACGATTGCTGCGAGGCTACTGTTGCTCTTGCTCTCGAACACGCGCCAGTCCATCTGGACCACTGACAGCCTGTCCGAATGACGGTCGTGTGAGTTGTAATCGACGGCTGACATGCGCGAGACGCTTGAGGCGCCTGTCAGGGTTGGTTAGATTTTTATACGGGGGGTTACATTTTGCTCGTAAAATGTCACTAATTTGGCGCGTATCGCCTACTCAGACCAAGCGGATAAAATAGATCAGCAATTCACGGGAATACAGATAGGGAGGAGTATACAGAAAGAAGGAGTGACAGATAGGTGAAGGGACTTATTGATTGACTGAAAGACGGACTGACCGACTGAATGACTGACTGACTGACTAACTAACTGGCTGGTTGGATGCATGACCTACTGGCTTACTGACTGCGTTCTTGATTGTCCGGCTTCCCGGCAGACCTATAGGGCTGTAACGCAAGAGGGAACAATGAACGTGCACAAAATGTCACCACGCTCGAGAGCACACCGGAGCAGAACCAAACTAAAAGAAGTAACCTACAATCGCAAAAGTATCAGACTTTTACGATTGCTTAATTTGTGAGCTTTATGACACTGTTTTGAGTGAATTTTAAGCAATCCAATGTTTGTACTTATCTGTCTGTCTGTCTGTCTGTCTGTCTGTCTGTCAGTCTGTCTGTCTGTCTGTCTGTCTGTCTGTCTGTCTGTCTGTCTGTCTGTCTGTCTGTCTGTTTATTTGTTTGTCTTTCTGTCTGTCGTTCTCTCTCTGTATATATGTACACGAACTTCAGCACTAAACAATGCCTATTACTTCCTTTCCGGATTTAGGTGCAGCTGGTGGTGAGGTCGATGAGGTGACGGGCAATGGAGTACGCCGTTTGACAGTTTACATTGCCGTCCCGACAGCCGTGTTTCTCGTCTGTTTATGCGTGGTCACCTACTGT